CCAGTGTGTGTTCCTGGGATATAGTGACCGACATAAAGGCTATTGTTGCTATGATCCCGTCGGGAAGCGAATGCGCATAGCTTATCATGTGTTCTTTCTTGAAGACACAATGTATTATTCGTCGTCTTCTGGGCATGATTCTGAACCGTCCACTTCCACTTGTCTTGATTGGTTGATGACAATGCCGAGTTTTGATGCTTCTTTACATATTCCGATGGGAACTCAGGGAGGGACGGACTCTGAGCTTTCGCATCATTCGCCTGGAGGCTCGCTCAGCCCGGCCTCGTCTAGCTCCAGTACACATGGCTCGACTTCAGGGAGGACCAGCTCCTCCAACTCTGCGTCGAGCAGCTCAAGCTCGAGTTCGAGTTCACCATCGGGAGAGCATGGGAACTCGCCAACATCGGGGGAAGGTAGTGAGTCTGGTAATTCTGGAAATGGGAGTCACAATGGCGCTCATGGTGGCTTTAATGAAATTGAAAATGGCGCTCATGGTGGGTTTAATGAAATTGAAAATGGTCAACAGCAGCCCCGCAGATCAAGTCGAGCAAACTTGGGATGTCCCCCCATTCGTCTACTCGATTATGAAGGGTATGCAGTAGAACCATGTGTGATCCCAGCAACATATGAACAAGCTTGTGAAGACCCAAGGTGGAACATGGCAATGGTGGAAGAAACAGAAGCTTTAGAGGCAAATGGTACGTGGAAATTGGTGCTTAGACAGCCGGGCATGTCAGTCATTGGATGTAGATGGATTTATACAATAAAGATGAACCCAGACGGCACTATAGAGAGATTTAAAGCAAGGTTAGTAGCTCGCGGTTTTCTCCAAGAATACGGTATAGATTAAGATGAAACGTTCGCACCAGTCGCAAAAATGCAGACAGTACGTTGTATATTTGCGGTTGCTGCGATGAAAGGTTGGCCACTTTTTCAGTTGGACGTAAAGAACGCATTTTTGCATGGCGATCTTAAAGAGACAATTTACATGGAGAGGCCTCCAGGTTATACTAAAGGGTCTTCCGACATGGTTTGTCAACTGGTTCGGTCACTTTACGGTCTTAAGCAAGCTCCACGAGCTTGGTTTGAAAAATTTCACAGTACAGTAATTCAGTTGGGATTTGAACAGAGTCAAAATGATCCATCTCTCTTTGTACGGAATACAGCTGAAGGAGTAGTGATTTTGCTGATCTATGTGGATGATATGATCATCTCAGGAAGTGATTCTGCCGGAATACAAGAGTTAAAAGAATCACTGCATAAAGCCTTCAACTTAAAGGATCTTGGAGACGTGTCATACTTTCTAGGACTAGACGTACAAAGATCAACGCAAGGCATTTTTGTTTCACAGAAGAAGTACATTGCAGATCTTCTTGAGACTGCGCGGTATACAGATTGTAAGCCTTGCTCGACTCCGATGGAACAGAATGTGAAGTTGCGGAAAGACGGTGGAGATCTAATAGAAGACCAGTCGATGTATCGCAGTTTGGTAGGGAGTCTAATCTATCTGGTTCATACTCGGCCAGATATCGCTTATTCTGTACAGGTGGTTAGCCAGTATCTGGGAGTAGCTCGAGCACAGCATTTAGATGCAGTTCACAGGATTCTTCGATATCTCAAGCATACTCAAGATGCTGGAATGTTCTTTCCAGTCGGAGGAGATGCAGTTATGGAAGCCTATGCTGATGCGGACTATGCAGGCTGTCAGGACACCCGGCGGTCCACATCAGGTTGGTGCATACGCATAGGAAAGTCGTTTGTCTCTTGGAGATGTAAGAAGCAAGAACGAGTATCTAAATCGTCAACAGAAGCAGAGTATCGATCCATGTCTGAAGTAAGCTCGGAGATGATCTGGTTACAGCGATTGCTGAGTGATTTGGGCGTTGATTGTCATGTTCCCATGAAACTGTTTGGTGACAACACTAGTGCCATACAGATAGCATTGAACCCAGTACTACATGACAGGACGAAGCACATAGAGGTTCATGTCCATTACATTAGACAGCTGGTCACAGAAGGGAAGATACAGCTATATCATTTGTCCACTGATGATCAGACAGCAGACCTATTGACTAAGGCATTAGCATCCAGCAGACATTGGTACTTATCGGCCAAATTGATGTTGCGTACCCAACATCAATTTGAGGGAGGGTGTTGAAAATATAAGTATCTAATTGTAATTGTACTTAAAAGACCTTAGTCATTAGGGTTTCGTAGAGCTGTATATATATTCATGTATCTCGTATGTACTGGGCAACAAGGCAATAAGATTGACTTGGAGAGCTCTGCCTCTCCCGTGGACTAGTCCTGTTGATCAGGGAAACCTAGGGTTTCGTAGAGCTGTATATATATATTCATGTATCTCGTATGTACTGGGCAACAAGGCAATAAGATTGACTTGGAGAGCTCTGCCTCTCCCGTGGACTAGTCCTGTTGATCAGGGAAACCACGTTAAACTCGGTGTTCTTGTTCTTTCCTTTGATTTTGTCAGGAGGGAGAGCCGGTTCCTACGAGAAATCGCCAATCCATGGCAGTGGCACCAGTGAGTTTCACCCACAAAGTCGAATTTTGGTGCCGCAAAACCCACCGTCAAACCTAACTCCAAGACGGATTAAGAAAAGAATCGGAGAAGAGCAAGCCTCTCCAATTTGGTGACGCCATCGCCGCTCAGAATCTCTGACCTCTGGAATCTGGTACAACCGCCGCCGTTCAGAGCCTATGACCTCTGCAATCTGATGCTACCGTCGCCGTTCAGAGCCTCCAACCTCTGCAATCTGGTGCCGCCGCCACAGTTCAAAACCTCTAACCGCTGCAATCTGATGCCTCCGCCGTTGAAGATCGACGATTCGCCTTCTTCGCCGCTAAGCTAAACTCGCTGCCTTTCATCTCCGAACTACTAACCTTTGTTAACAAAATCAAAACCACTTTGTGTGAAAAAAGAATGGATTGGAGCGAAAAAAATTGGAGATTTTCGTTAGAAGCTCCATTTGATATTGAAAAAGAAAGAAAAGAAGTGGAGATTCAATCCGAGAGTTCAGGGAGAATGAGTAAAGGAAAGAAAAAGAGAAATGGAGAAAGTGGGAAGAGATTAGGATAGTTATCATAAACGGTCATAAACCTTTACATTTTGTACAAAATGGTTACAAACCTTTAATTTATAACGAAACGATAATAAAATTATGAACTTGTACGAAATAAATGGTCACTTCTGTTAATCTCGATTCAAATTTCCGTTAGATCTATCTAATCAGCATTCCACCTCATCAAACAATCAATGAACAAATTCAATTTAATATATGAAACCAATTTAGACTAACGAGTAAAAAATTTATTACAAACCGGTCAAATCCTATCTCACCACTCCATTGGGATTCCCTTAGCCCTTATCCTCCCTTTCTCCATCGTGCGTCCTCTGCTGCTAGTTTCCATTCATTTCACATTATGTTCTTTCTCACACAAAGGGTTATGGAAGATCTTGAATACATCTAGAGCCCAATCCTTCCTTCTCGCCTGCTTCTCTTCATTCCACACTTCTTGATTTCTCTTTCCTCGAAACACCACAGCCTCTCACTTTTCTTTCTTTATCTCTTTCATCTCTCTTTCAATTGCATCATTCTTCTCCCAATTTGCGAGATCCCCTTTCTCCGTTCATCTGCTCCAAATAAGAGTTCCTCTTGATTGATGCACCAGTTTAGCAGTTCCAATTGTAACCTCTCCCGGTCCCCCTATGTTTTCGTAAATCGTAAGGACCACCACCGTGGAAGGGAGATGGAAATTAATATTGGCGGAGGTAAGTGGAGAAGGTGAGGGTGTGGTGGCCCGTGAGAGTGAGGGTGGAGCTGAGGTTGTTGTTGCTGCTGTAAGTGGTGAGGGTAAGGAATTCTTGTTGTATGAAAGGATGAAATGTCGGCGGCGAGGGTAGCGTCGAAGATGATACTATAGGAGGGTGAGATAGGGTTTGGGCAGTTTTGACCGATTTCTAACCGATTTGAGGTTGGTTTCATATAATTAAATTGAATTTGTTTATTAATTGTTTTGATGAGGTGGAATGCTGACTAGATAGTTCTAACAGAAATTTGGATGGAGACTAACGGAAGTGATCATTTCGTACAAGTTCATAGTTTTGTTATCGTTTCGTTACAAATTAAAAGTTTGTGACCATTTTGTACAAATTATAAAGGTCTATGACCATTTATGATAACTACCCGAAGAGATTAGCAAGCAACGCATTATTCTGAAATAACAGGGGGTATGGTGTTATTTCAAATAACATGTTTTGCATTATTTGCAAATAACCCCGCCCTAAAATAACTTATTTAAGTTTTATGAAGTCAAACGTGGTATTTTGGCCCAAATAACTCATTGTGAGTAGCCGAAATAACTCACCTAAATAATCTATCCAAACGACCACTAAGTTTTGATTTGGGTGTCCACCCAATTGCATTTTTACTATTTATTTTCTGGAGTTACTCTCACTATTATTGATAGATTGCAATTTAATCAATGTTGTTTTTATATGTGAAGGAATGCTCATAATGAGACGAGTATGAGTATGAGGCGGGGAGGCTAAAACCATATCCACCCTATACCCATCAAACATTTTGCGGATTACTTATACTCAGTAAAAACAAAAATTTCCTAAATTAACTGGAAGCTATTTGTACTCGCAATCATGATTTGATTTTAATGTAATTTTTTTTAGAGAAGAACCATCCTTTTTTTATTATTAAAGCCCTAAAGCCAGAGCCCAATTCCTTGCGAGCAACCTTCAAGCGGGAGAAGTGAAAATCAAATCACAATTTGCCACCATTTCCAAACCCCAAAAACTCGAAACCCTTGGCTCCAACTTTTACCGCCAAAACCATTCCCGCCATTCACCAACCGCGCGCGTGTCCCTGTCCCGCCAAATCCCCAACCCTAGCTCCCTTTCCTCCCATTTAAACCCAAACTCCATTTTCCCACACAGCAAATGCAAATTTCCTTTCCATCCTAATTTCTTCGCAACCTGCTTGTTAAAATTCCCCAGAGAAGCCCAGATTTCCCTTTCCTTGGCTTGTACTAGTTCAGATCATGGTAGTCGCTCTCCGTCCCGCAAACTTCTACGGCAGCAGCCTCCCTCGCCCTCGCTTCTTTGATCACACGAGCCTCCCTGGCCCTCGCATCTTCGATGACGTAACTGAACGCGTCGATCCTCCTGTCTCGGTCATGGATCCTCTCCTCTCCTGGGCTCAAGAGGCTCACTGGTCCATGGGCGGCCTCAACACCCAGCGCTTCCGCCTCCAGGGTCGCATCGAAGGCAACGTCGACAGGCTGCGCAAGTTCAGGGAGAAGCAAGCCAAATCCCAGACCGGAAATACCCCAAAGAAGCAGCAGAACGACGTCCTCACACTTGCCGCCGGTGAGAAGAATCAGAAAAGGGCAGGCTCTACTTCTCCACCTCCGGCGCCTAGAGTGACGAAGAAGAGGAAGTTCATGAATCTATTCGGGGATGATAGTGAAAGCGAAGAAAATGAGCAGATGGGTGCCTCTGATAAGAGTGAAGGAACCAGGGGTAAGAAATGGCCGGTGAGGAAATTGGTTGGGGAGTTTGAGAGGGTAGCCATGGAAACTGAGGCGAAAAAAAACGAAGGCAAGACGCAGGAATCAGTGGAATCTGTTGGAGTGAGGACAAGGAGAAGTGGGTCTGAGAAAGGCAATGGCAGGGCTGGTGATTCGGTGATGAAGATTGTTGAGGAGTTGAACAAAGAGGGTTCTGCAAGGAAGAATTCCAAGAAGAGATTGAGAAAAGTTGGGGAAGATGGCCAGAAGATTCCTGCTGATGCTGGAGGCAATGGTGGGAGTGTTAGGACTTCGCCAAGGTTGGCAAAGCTAAAACCAAGCTAGATCCGATCGTATGTTTAGGACTGATCTGTTATCTTTTCAGTGATTTAGGGGTTTTCCTTGCTTGCTTCTCTATGATGAATCAATGTTTATACCGAGTATGTAGCTTTAGTTTTGGCAAACCTGGTAAAATGGACAGCCCATCTTCTCCACTGTGCAAGAAGTATCTTGGCACCAAGTCATGCAACTCTAACATTGACAGACTCAAATATCCAGTAGCTATATTTTGGTATGAATTCACCCCACAAGCTGAACTGTTATGATCAATCAATCCAATGTCTTCTCTATTATCATTGTAAAAGATTTTGCAGCAAAGCACCTAAATGTCAAATCCAATCACTCTATGATCATTTTAGAAGATTTTACAGCAAAGCACCCATATTGATTTCATGATGACCTCTATATCTAATTCGCCCGTGCTGCCACATCTGTATAAAATTCAGAGGAGCACAGCTAGAAGCCTAAAAGTGAATGTGTTCATCTTATACAGAATTGTGCAGACAAAAGGTTGGTAAGTGCTGAACTTCAAGGTTGTTGCATCACTGTTTCTGCAAACACAGTTCTTTCAAATTTTGGCTCTCTTCTATGGCACCTCGGAGTTTTGCCAACTTGCATGATTGCTCGGTTATCAATTTATATGTTGATGCCCTTTGCCATGGGACGATACCGAAATCATCATTACTCTCGTCCATGTCTTCCACAAATAATTGCCACATCAAAGCACCACCTCCAGCTCCCTTTTTCTTAGCAGATTTGTATACGATGTCATAAACTGTTTTGTATAACCAGTCACGTTGAGATGGTTGGAAGTCCTTGTTCAGATTAGACAATCCAAATTCGGTGAAGAGTACAGGCTTGTTCAGCTCATGGTGACCATCTTCGATGTGTGAGAGCATCCACTTCGAAACAAATGTCAGTTTATCCTCAAATGATCGATGAGCAATCCTAAAGGCAAGACAAAGAACAAATTTTCAGGTCTAGATTGTGGGAGCATGGCTTCATTTTTGTCACTTCAAAGAGTTGTGTTGCCTGATAAACAATACTAACCAATGATCAGGGTATATATGAACAGAGGCAAAATCGATGTGTGAAACCTTTGAGTTGCTAACAAAATCAGATCCCAGGTCTGCAGCCCAATCTGCTGGATTCACAGTTAGTCTTTTGGGGTTTTTAGGACCATAAAACCCTTCCAGCCCCACTGTCAGTAGATGATTCTTGTCGATTGATTTCACATAAGCCGACATTTCTTCAATCCAATCCTGCAATCAGAAGTCTCATGATGTTAACCACTTTCTTAGAAGAAACGGACTCAGCTGCTTCCTCCCCTTCATTTGCTAAGCCAATCTTCCAGTTACAACTTACAAAGGAGGCAAATGCATAGAATTGACAAGTCATTAACTTTCTGAAAATGTATTCAATTAATCTATGGACTTTTAGCCAATCTAAGGAAGTTCAACTTAGATTTGAAAATCGTTGCAACAAACCTATTTTCACAAAGATCACATATCAAACCCCATTGTTGTTGGGGGAAAAAGCAGTCAAGAAAAGGAAGTAACAAACTTTTCCATCCTGGTCTTCCAGAAGGCTTGAAAGGTCAGAGACCTAAGAAACTTCAAAGTAGTATCAAGTTTGCATGAAGTAGATTCCTCAATAAGCTAATGGATAATAGTGAGAGTTCACTACTTACTTGAATAGTATCTCCAGAAGGATCGGTCATGCAACGGGGCTCATTCATCAACTCCCATGCAAATATGGTTGGATCATTCCTATATTCGACTCCGGTGACAGTGTTCTTCCTTGTCAGCATGGTCTGAAATAAGGACGCAATTAGAGCTGACCATGTCATAAATTCCAAAGACTTGGTGGAAGATAATAGAAAACAGGCAACTCAATGCAGCAACAAATTCTTCACTGTTTTATTGCTATGGCATAACTGGTAACAGATAAGCATCTCAAGAATGACGGAGTAAGATACAAAATGCCCCACGAAATATCAACTAAATAATGGCTGTACATAAAGTTGAGAACTAAGTACCTGTAAATAATGCTTAAAGTACTTTTTGATGGATGGATCATAGAAGAAAGAATCATTAGAAGCGCTCAAACCAATGCCTTCTTCCCATGCCCACTTCACATATCGATCCTTCCCGCCATATGCTTTCAAGTTATTGACTAAACTAAGAAGCAGCCTAACTTTATGTGCTTTCGCCTCAGCAATCACATGATCCAACGCCTGAAGCAAAATTAAAAGATGAAGCATGGGACGATAATGACAGATTACAACAAGACGTGCCAACAAGCATGTTAGATATAATAATTGCAGATTAAAATGGACTAACTGTCTCACTAAAGAGCAAATATGCCGAAAATGAATTGGCTACTGAAAACAAGAGAAAAGACAAGGCAAACGTTACATTGTTCTTTCTGAAAAACCAGATCAGGAGAAACAACAAAGTGCAATTGAGACCCACTAATCATTGACATAAGTTCCCTCTACGACCTCAAACAGACAGTTATTGCAAAGAGCATTGGCGTTATCTTACCTGCCCCATCTACCAATTTTTAGAGCCAGTCCCAGTGCATAAACAAATCTGGAAAAAAGAAAAACTGAAAGAGAGAGAAGTAAACTCCAACTCCTTTAGACTGGCTTCAACCAACAATCAGATTTCAACTAACAATTGAGAATTCATATCGACGAAGAGATCATCTAAGATCAAAGCCACAAACCTAAGAGGCAGAATGAAAGGCTAAACAGCATTGCTATATAATATAACTACAATCATTTCATGACAAATCGATCTAACAAGAAAGGCAACAAGAGGAAGAGAAATGTAAAAGACATCATCAGCATGAAAAACGGGCAATCTGAATTTAAACATACCCGGAAAACATTCTCCTCAAATCGGCCAGGGGAGACCTGAAGTGCATTGTGGGCGCCATCATTGAACGCCCAAGTTCTACAGACGGTGAGACCCATTTTTGAACCAGCCTCCAGCATTGCACTAGCCTTGTGTTTCCTCTGGTAATCGGCGGAATGGTCCATCAACCAATACGAATTCCACCCATTGATATAGAACGGCTTGCCGTCCAACACAAACCGAGTCCCATTTCTCTGCACAAAACTCCACGCCGGTCCCACAGGATACGCCGGCCACAGGTCACCAAATGAAAGATAAATGAAGACCACACATGAAGCAAAACCCAGAATTGGGATGAAAGGACCGCTCCCTCCCATTCTTCTTTTGCCCCAATACAAAATTGGTCCTCTTGTAATAGATTTCAGCAGTAAACGCATGCAACCACAACCGGAAAAATCAAAGATTCCTCTTTTCCGTCCTGGAAAATGCTTTCCAATTCACCTGAAACTCCGCAGGCCCTTAGTGGGAAAGCCCAAATTCAACCGCATTACTTGGTGCATTCACTGTCTTCTTCTTCGGCTAAGGTTGTGGGGATTTATGGAATGGTGACAAAGACAGAGACAGATACACAAGCGAAATCCAGGATAGCTGGCTCTTGTGCAAGAAACGCAGGTGAGGCGGAAGACCTTTACACAGAGAGAGACAGAGAGAGAGAGAGAGAGAGAGAGAGAGAGAGAGAGAGAGCGGTAGAGGAACAATGGGGGTGGGCGGAATGTTGGTATTTGATTGTTGGTGAGAAAGGTAGATCTGGAGAGGACCCTTTTTGGGAAATCCTTAGAATTTCAGCTCCCTCCCCAACGAGATGGCTTCAAATTTAATATTCCAGAACCGACAAGCTTCAAACTTCTTTCTACCGACACACTCTAGCCTCTCTCGCAGCATCTGCCTATAGGGCCAGAGTGGTCTGGATTTGGGATTTGGGTGCCTTAATCAAATCATCTTCTTCGCGATTTCCCTTTGATTCCTGCCTTTCTCAATGCTATGCTCGAACCAAAATTGTTCTAAGGCTGAGAAAGGAAGACAATTGGGAAAGAACGGAGAAGCTCATTATGACAATTGACAAATGGGGTGGGCTGATAATGGATGCCTTTTGTCTTTGAGGTGTCTCTGTTTTGGCATGTAAGTTTTTTTTTTTTTTTTTGGTTGGTGGAAATTTGACATGTAAGTTTTGTGAGGCTTTGTATTTTCTTTCCATTTTCTTGGTGGCTGAAATAATTTTTGGTACATTTGCCACCCATATGTACAGCGGCGGATCCAGGACACAGTAGAACATTGGGCCCGCATTTCATTAGAAAATTAGATACAGTATAAAAATCATAAAAAATTTTACTATTTCAATTGTACACGTCGATCTTTTAAATTTTAATATAGTGAATTCATCAATAATGGAGTCTACATCCATACCAATAACATACTCTCTTTAAGATAAAATAGTTAACCAATTGGCGAGAAATTCATCGCTCATTTTATTACGTAGATAATTTTTCACCTATTTCATTTGTGAAAAGGTTCTCTCCGTAGTTGTTGAAACGAGCAATGTCAACACTAGACAAATCAATATATATATTTTGTGTTAATCCATATTTTTACCAGCTACTCTAGTAATTTTTCAAGTGAACAAACCTCATATTCCTTTTAATCTTTTACGTTTTTTACTTTTAGAATTTTAGGTTTCATTTATTGTTTTTCTTTAGGCGAGAATCATTGGAGTTAGAATTTTCAGGTTAAATTTAGAGCTGTGTCTTGAATATGTTCATCTTACCCATTTTCCTAATTACACACAATCTTATTATAAAATAACACTGGGCCGAATGACTATAACCGATAAACTAATAAGGGCTATACTAGTTTCGGATCCAGAGGAGGGCTGGGCCGTGGCCCGGAGTGGCCTCCCCGTGGATCCGCCACTGCGTATGTAGGGGTGAACAAACACACCTGTAAACCGACCCATCCATTCAACCCGACCCAACCCACCCATATTTATCGCTAAATCGAAGGTTTTGGGTTGGGTGAGGGTTTTTTTTTGTACAACCCGCCTCTTTTGGGTTGGGTTTGGATTTTGGATTACACAACTCGTAGAACCCGACCCAACCCGTATTCCAATTATTGGTATGAGTTCGTATCCAAAAAAATATTTATGTCGTATATAGTCATGCTTATGAGAAAATTAAGATATTTCGCCATATTTTTCTCTTAAAGTCTCATTAATCTAATGCATTCTTCGACTTAAAGTTTAGACATATATTTAATATAGCTATGATTCACTTAATTTTTTTTCTTGTGTACAATTTTAAAAGAATATCATATTATGGATGCGTTCATTTGTAACCTTTTTAGCCTATTGCAACAAATGTCGTGAAAAAAACTAGACATAAGTTGAAGTATACAAGTTTTATTAAAATTCAAACAATATTTGTGAATTTTGATACATTTCACCTCGGTTTATTCGTTTGAATTTTTAATTTGTTATAAAATATTTTTATGATGTAGAATAATTACATATTTTATGTTGGGTTGGGTTTTTACTTAAAAATATCACCAACCCGACCCAACCCAATTAGAAACAAACCGTAGGGTTTAGATTTTTTTGGGTGGGTTTGGGTTTAATATTTCCCAAACCGTAGTGCATGGGTCGGGTGATTAAAATGCCTAAACCCGGACCACCGGACCACCGGACCAATGTACACCCCTACCCGTATGGCCGTATCCGGTATCCTAGTGACTGGTTCAATCGGTTAGAACCGGTATAAATCACCAAACTGATTGTAAAGGAGTCAGTTTTCCGCTCTTGTCAAATCCGACCTGATTTTAGAAAACTAACCGATCTGACTAGAAAGCGAAATTCAACACTTTTCACACATACTCTCGAATAGTAAACACCGCTCATGGAATTTGAATCAAATACCTCATATTTAATAGTTTCAATCGTACATCAATAGACTACAAGAAACTTTGTAATACATATTAATTTATATACTATATAACCAATGGTATATTTTACATAAATCAATGAAACATTAATAAAATTCATTTAATATACTTTTATTTTTACGTATTTAATTGTTTACTTTTATTTTTACGTATGCCAATCCAGGATGTCATGGTTGTGAACTTTATCGCGGACTCGGACAATTGGGATTGCAAGTCGACTATCAAAAGTCCCTAGTCCTTCCTTGGCGGCTACTTCTGAAGTTCGGACCATCGGCTTCATGCTCTAGTTCATGCCCTCTCTTCATGTCGTGATCTGCTTGCTCCAGGCTGTGATCTTTCATTTTTTCCCATAACGATCCTATACCTATGACTGTAAGTGGGCACCGGGCCTTGGCGCCCACGGGCTAGCATGGCACGACAAGGTTAGAGCATGGCACGGGCACGAAATAAATGGGCCAGCCCAGCACGAGCACGACATGGTATATAAGTGGGCCGTGTCAAGCCTAATATTTTCGAGACTTTATTGAGTATAAGAACGGACATGGCACGGAAATATTATTTGATAGAAAATAAATATAAAAAGAATTATAGGTTCAAATATTACAAAACAAAAGTAGAAAAATAATTATTTGTTGTTGTTAGAAATGTCATAAAGATATATACGTAATTACTAACACAAGTAAAAATGGACAAATAATTAAACAAAGCCAAATCACACTCGCTATACTTCCAATTTTCTTTTCCCCCTTATTTGTTACTTTTCACAAACATAATCGGTTAGTACTATCTTTCCCGTCCAATTTCCACCATCTTTTTCATTCTCTCTTTTGTTTGCGTCCTTTTCATTAAACACGAATACGAGCATGGCACGAGCACGAATAGACACGGCACGATTCGAACTGTGCCCGGGCCTGGGCCGGGCCTAGCAAAAATAACAAATGGGCTTGCATGGCACGACTCGAAAACTGACGGGCCGTGCCAAGTACAGCACAAAATATATGGGCCAAGAACGGCCCAGTGCCATGCCGGCCCAAGAACGGCCCAGTGCCCATGTACACCTGTGACCCCTTTTTTGCAACTAAAATGTTCATATCATCTAAAACACCCTAATATGATAATATTCTCTTCGAGGAACGAAAGTGAGATATATTTGATGATGCATTGACCATTAAGAATACGAAATGACTCGAAATGATTCTAAATATCGAGGCTAAATAACACCAATGTGGGTGTTATTTTCCTTTGAATTAATGATCCTTTTGGCCTTTAAACTATGAGTTTTAATCTAACACTTGAAATTTAAACATTTATCTGACATAGTTTTTCCATCCATATCTTGTTAATGACGTCTATTAAAATGAGAGACGCACACTAGGCATTGACAAGAGTCGAGAGATGAAGTCAGTGCCAGATCTATTTATTGTAAATTAGTCTTCCCAGCTCGTAAAGTTATTATAAATATTATGGTTATATTTAGTAGACTCGTATAATTATGATAACACCTAAGTTAGACCTTTTCATACTCCATTATTAAGCGTTATCATGATCATATTGCCATAAATGTTAATTTTCACTCTACTAGTCTATAATGTTATCATTGCGACATTTTCAGGTTTCTGACAAAGAATGTTGACGTTTTGTTTACTATTGAAGCCAAAGGGTACATGTGTAGATGATAGAAGTGACAATTACTAGAAATTGCACCATCACGGTCACAACTACATAATCATGATCGTGATTTTTTGGCTGTGATTCATGTCCTGAAGATCACGACAAGGAAAGTACACAGACAAACTATATTAGTGTGCTACCTCCTAAGACCTGTGATCTCAAGTGCAGAAAAGGCAGAGAGTTTCACAACTGTTTAGAAAGAGATGGCGTGTAAACTTATATTCATGATCTCCAAGTTATGCTAAGTGGTCAAAATCAACACCTCAACTCAACAAGGCAATGTCATTTTGGAGAACTCAGGTGCATTCATAAGACTACGATCGTGATCCCGAAGCATTGGTCTTGTTCATCCCCAGGCCTATATAAGGAGGAGATGACATTTTTAAAGGGGATATGATTTTTCTCAAAAAATCATGGAGTTAGAGAAAGAAAAAGCAAGGGTCTTGAGCTTAGAGAGACAAGAAGCGAAAGCAATAAGAAGGAAAGGGGATTTCTCACCTTTGTTGGGGATTTCTTGGAGCTAAGAAGAACGACTTGGAGAATTGAAGTATCATCCATGATGATTTCTTCCTCTCATCTCCCAGTTTGTGCTTTGGTAATTAACTCTATGAAGGTGACTCTAAAAAAAAATAATCTATATGAGCTGTATGAACCCTAATTTGAGTTATGCCTACCTGATCTTTGATTTCTCCAATCTCTTGTTCTGATAGTGCAATTGTTGCCATGTTATTGACCCATGAGAGTGACGAACTAATTTGCACACCGGGTTAACCCCCAATTGAATAATGTCAACCTAGACAAGTGATCAGTTGCATGCTCGGTGAGTCAAATACTTTTATACAAGTACAATTAAGTGCATGCCCATTGACTGTGTTATTCTTAGTACTAGTATCAATACCCACGGCTACGCCGCGGGAGATTCAACGATGTTTAGTATATCTAAAAGCAATATAGTGATTTTAAAAAAAAAAGCAATATAGTGATAATGGAAATTGTAGAAATTATATACAGAATTTGGTCATTCTTTTTATGCAAGACGAACTTAATCAACAAAAAGTGATGCAATATACCATCTACTTTGATAGAGAATAATGCAGTGTTGTTTACCAACAATATTCTTTACATTTAATACAATTTGTACAACCTCAATATAACATGTCTTCTTTTTGTTTAAGATGAAACTCGAACTATATACTACTACTACTCTATGAAATGAGCAGAGGAAAGAGAGTCACGAATAACACAAATTCAGGAAGCAAAAGAGATTACATATTTGTTTAAGTACAATAGTTGGAAGAGGGATTCTCACAGAAGTCACAGTTGGATTAAACTACAAATTTGTTTTAGAATTGGTTGGCCTGGTTAGGTAGAATGTGTTAGTGTTGTGGTATATGATCCACGATTGAACCTCTCCCAACAACTCGAGTTATTGGGAGCAACTGGTTCTTGACATGGTATTAGAGCCTTCTGTGACCGAGAGGTCTTGTGTTCGATTCCCGGTGACCCCCATTTGTTAAGCAAATGGTATTCTTGTCTCCAGACCTGTGCAAACTTCAAGCCCTTATGAGTGGCTTTCGTTTGAGGGGGCGTGTTAGTGTTGTGGTATATGATCCACGATTGAACCTCTCCTAACAACTCGAGTTATTGGGAGCAACTGGTTCTTGACAGAATGTATCTGACTTCAATGAGCAGTCCATTTGAGAAGTTTCTAATAGTTGAAGCCTTGGAACAGATTGCTTCTCATTAGAAGCGTTCACAAATCATCCCTGTATGATAGGTAAGTTTATTAAAAGCATAACCCGTATAAGAAGTCTTGAATAAGCATGGCTCCCCCGGCGATTCAGAGGGACCGGCCAGCCAGGACAGGAAATGGAGATATGCCGACTACCGGCTCAGTTCTTCACCGGGATGAAGGACATCTCCCAACCCATTCGACCGCTTCCTTGCGCCATTACTTCTCTTTCTCCTTCAAAGACAGTTGATTTGGTTGAGAGTCGGATGTTTATGCTGGGAATGGGATACGTGGGGCAATTCTTCGGCCATCAACTCAAAAATGAAGGCTGGGTTGTGAAGGGGACTTGCAGGAGTTCAAGGAAGAAGAAGGAGCTCGAGGAGATGGGGTTTGATGCTTTTGTCTTCGATGCTAGTGAGCCTGAGTTCTGCGTTTTGAGTTTTGTTAGTAGCTATACTCACCTCCTTGTCTCCATCCCTCCAGTTCCTGGTCTGGGGGATCCGTTGTTGAAGAATGTAGAGCTTGTAAGAGGTGCTTTGGTGGATGGGAGTCTTCAATGGCTCTGTTACTTGTCTTCTACTGGCTTATATGGTGATTGTGCAGGTGCTTGGGTCGATGAGGATTAAGGAAGCAATCCCACTTTGTAATGTTTGAACTAATATTCACATCGAATGGAAGTAATTATACACAAACCATACTGTGGCAGCTACCCAGCAAACCCTTCAATTGAGCCAGCAAAATCAAGGTTGCTTGCTGAGAATGAATGGTTAAGTTTCGGCGATTCACTAGGGTTATCAACGCAAGTGCTTCGACTTGGGGGCATCTATGGCCCTGGCAGAAGTGCCATCAACACAATGATCAAGCGGCAACCTTTGACTTCACGTTAGAAAATGAGATCGTCCAAGCAGTATACATCCAGAATTCATGTAGATGACATCTGTCAGGTCCTCCGGGCTACCATCGAGATGCTGTGATATTCCTTTGTTGTTCATCTTCAGCCACCATGTGATAGGCCTCTCCAAGGGTTGGTGTAGGCTTCATGTTGAGTGCTTGTGACCTTACAGTAGAGAAAACATCTGCAAGTCCCATTAGAAAGTAAAAAAGTATAGCGTTTTCACTAATCTCCCTCACCCTCTTTTCTAGACCACATGTGCAACGATTGCAAACACATGTTGGTTGTGGTGTGATGGAGTTGGATTCCTGCCACAGCCCTCTTAGCTTCGTATAGTAGGCTGAAACTGTCAGTTTCTCTTGTTGCAAGAGTGAGATGGCTCGCCTTAACTCATAGGCACGAGGTGAACTTCCCTTCCCGAATCTCTCTTGAAGATCGACCCATATCTCGCAGGCTGTTTTCGCGTATCGGACACTGGTTCTCACCTCTTTGTCCATGGCGGTCTTGAGCCACCCTTTCACCATGGCGTCACACTGGATCCAGGCTGCAAGGTATTCATTTTCCTCTGCTGGTTTTTGTATGGTGCCATCGACAAAGCCCATTTTGTGATTTGCTAGAAGAGAGTTGGTCATGTCGCTGACCCACTCTCCGTAGTTTTGATCGGTGAGTGGATCACTTACGAACATTTGACTAGGATTGTCTGAATTATGCAGACTGTATGCGGAAGCTGCCTCCTCCTTTTTCATGGTGCTCACAATGGGACTCTCTTCTCTGCTTTGCTGGTTGCTTGTAGTTGAGGTTTGGAGATCACTCATTATGTATTTCACTCAAGAAAAGGAATGAGAAGGGAAAAGATTTGCAGGATTCTAGAGAACCCGCTCTGATACCATGAAGAAATCCACAAAGGATTGAAAAGAGAAAAACCAGAATGATAGTCTCTATTCTGTTTGTATTTCTTCTTACTGATACAAGCTACATGGAGACCTATCTACTTCTATATATACACGTGATATTGCTTGGTAAAAGATAAGAATAGCATGTGAGAAAAGAAAGCTATCAGATAAATGAAAGCTAGCATGTGTTTGCAGAAGATAACATTGAGATGGGGAAAAATAAATAGGGATGGTGAGTTAATGGACTTGTCTCCGACAAGTAATTGAATGATGTGGTATGGAAGATTTCTACATGGCAATTCAGAGGGACCGGCCAGCCAGGACAGGAAATGGAGGCTTTGGCAGTACATGGCAGTGGTACGAGTGAGTCGGAACTTTGGCATTCCAGACTTGGGCACCCCTCTGAGCAGAAAATGAATCTTTTCAGCAATTTGACCAAAAATAAGTGTAAACTTACACATTGTGATGCTTGTCTACGAGCTAAACAATCACGTTTACCATTTCCTATTAGTTCAATAAAGACTACTTCTTGTTTTGAACTTCTACATATCGATATTTGGGGGGGTTACAGTTCTGTTTCTTTAAGTGGAGCACGCTATTTTCTCACCATTGTTGACGATTTCAGCAGAGCAGTATGGGTATATCTCTTGCGATACAAATCGGAAGTTGAGAAATACTTACTCATGTTTTGTCATATGGTCAAAACTCAATTTCAGAAGAATGTCGCTCGCATTCGTGCAGATAATGGGCTTGAATTTCAGACACGTGGTCTCCAACAGTTCTATGAAGAAAATGGAGTTTTGCTGCAAACTACTTGTACAGACACTCGCCAACAAAACGGAGTAGTCGAAAGAAAGCATTGCCACCTTCTTGAAACAGCTAGAGCACTCAGATTTCAAGCAAATTTACCCATAAAATTTTGGGGTGAGTGCATTCTTACAGCAACATACCTCATTTACCGGATGCCCTCCCGCAGATTCAGAACAAGACGCCTTATGCGGTGCTTTTTGGAAAATCACCACCACTGGAGCATCTCAAAATCTTCGGCTGCCTTGCATATGCTCGAGACAATCATAAGCATATCAACAAATTTGCAGAAAGGGGGAGACCCAGTGTCTTTCTCGGATATCCAGCCGCTGAGAAAGGGTACAGATTACTCGACCTTGCTACCAATCGCATCTTCGTCTCCCGAGATGTGTTCTTCGTCGAACAAGTCTTTCCGTTCAAGGACCATACGTCAATACAACCATCGCCGAATTCATCGCCTGAAACAACATCAGTTCCAGCAGACGACCTTGCAAATGACGGTCCCACGGCCGCAGAACCACATCCGGCGTCGCCTCTCTCACCACCGCCTGCAAACTCTCTGCCTGCAGTCATCCCAAATTCCTTTTCGACATCACCACCTTGCCCTTCTAGCGACCACGATCGGGTGGAGGAAACTACCACTCAGGCACCGGCGGAAGCTCCCTCGACGAATCCGCCGCACCTGCTCCATCTCGACAACGCCGTGGACAAAAGAATTGGGGAAATAAAATCCCCCCAATCAGCTAGCCATAACAGAATGGGCCAGCCAAATCAATTCCACTCTTCTGGGCCCCCTTCCTCAATCCAACTTCATGATGGGCCAAGTCAATTCGAGCCCATTAACTCCCATGGGCCACTTCAAGACCAAATAAACAATCCAGAGGTTTTATTTGATGATGGGTCATATTCTCCAAACTCAAGTGCTGAAATTGTGAACGACCAAGGAGGTATTGGGCTTAATTTAGAGCCTTCTCAAGTCATTCGGCAGAGCAAGCGCATCTCCAAGCTCCCAAGCCACTTTGATGGATATGAGGTAGATTTACCAGAAAATCTCAAACCTAGTCCTAAAGCTAAAGATGCTCAATATCCACTTTCTAATTATGTTACGTATGGTTATTTTTCACATAAACATCAAGCATTTTTAGCTTCTCTTACACATAATTGTGAGCCACAATTTTTCCATCAAGCCATTGGTAATTCCTTTTGGCGAGAGGCCATGAAAAGAGAAATTCAAGCTCTCGAAGAAAATGGAACTTGGATCCTCGTAGAACTTCCTCTCGGCAAGCATGCTATCGACTCAAAATGGGTTTACAAGATCAAGTATAATCCCAATGGAAGCATTGAACGGTATAAAGCCAGATTGGTCGCAAAAGGGTTTACTCAAGTTGAAGGGGTTGACTTTCATGACACCTTTGCACCGGTGGCTAAACTTGTTACAGTTCGTTGCTTATTGGCCATTTCAGTGATTCGGGGATGGATTGTTCATCAACTCGACGTCAACAATGCCTTTTTGCATGGAGATTTGGATGAGGAAGTGTACATGAAGCCACCACAAGGTTTTCTTCAAAATGGAGATAATCGCGTATGTAAGTTACGCAAATCCCTCTACGGTCTTCGACAAGCCTCCAGAAATTGGTACGCAAAATTTACTTCGGCACTTCTCTCCATGGGTTTCGTTTTATCTCGTGCTGATCCCTCCATGTTCATATATCGAACTTCATCAAGTTTTGTGGTGGCTCTCATTTATGTGGATGACGTCATCCTAGCTGGTGATGATTCACAATTCATCGAACATGTGAAACAGACTCTTCATCAGCGTTTTAGCATAAAAAATCTTGGGCCTTTGAAATATTTTCTCGGCATAGAAGTAGCTCGATCAGAAAATGGGATTGTACTCTCTCAGCGAAAGTATACTCTTGACATTTTGCAAGAAGCTGGCTTAAGTGATGCACGTCCAAGTATCTTCCGGATCGAGCAGAACCACCGTTTGACGAGTTCTGAATCTGAAGAAGTTGCATCCCCACAAGATGCCGCTGCTTACCATCGTCTTGTTGGCCGTCTTCTATATCTTACAGTGACACGTCCTGACATCGCTTATGCTGTCAACATCTTGAGTCAATTTGTTCACTCTCCAGGTTCCACCCATATCTCAGCTGCATAGCGTGTTGTTCGTTACCTAAAACGAGATCCAGGACAGGGTCTTTTTTTGCCGGCTGATGGTCATCTTGAACTAACTGCTTTTTGTGATGCTGATTGGGGAGGTTGCCCACTCACCCGTCGATCCACAACAGGTTACTTTATCACTCTTGGCAGGTCACCCATTTCCTGGCGCACTAAGAAGCAAAGCGTTGTTGCTCGCTCTTCTGCAGAGGCTGAATATCGAGCCATGGACAGCACTGTCAGTGAACTTATATGGCTTCGATGGCTCCTCCGTGAACTCGGAGCACCACAATCGCAACCAACCGTTCTCTACTGCGATAATCAAGCGGCTCTTCACATTGCCGCTAATCCAGTATTTCATGAACGCACCAAACACGTCGAGATGGATTGCTATTTTGTTCGTGAACATGTAATTTCTCAAGATATTCTCCCTTGCAAGGTACCCACACGAGATCAAGTGGCTGATATTTTCACTAAGGGACTCGACAGTGATAGATTCCGATTCCTTCTCTCCAAATTGGGCACTCGTGACCTTCATGCTCCAACTTGAGGGGGAGTGTAGAAATCTTCCATACCACATCATTCAATTACTTGTCGGAGACAAGTCTATTAACTCACCATCCCTATTTATTTTTCCCCATCTCAATGTTATCTTCTGCAAACACATGCTAGCTTTCATTTCTCTGATAGCTTTCTTTTCTCACATGCTATTCTTATCTTTTACCAAGCAATATCACGTGTGTATATATAGAAGTAGATAGGTCTCCATGTAACTTGTATCAGTAAGAAGAAATACAAACAGAATAGAGACTATCATTCTGGTTTTTCTCTTTTCAATCCTTTGTGGATTTCTTCATGGCAAACAACAAATTTGTTTTTAATCAAGACGAACGGGAAATGGAAAAAGAGAAAAATGTACTTGGTCGCGAGAAACCTGTCCGTTCAGCCTCTTGTGGATTGACCAATTTGCGTTGGTGAATTGACTAACATTTCATGCCACAGCTCATAATAATTAACAAAGCTTAT